GTATTATCGAGTAAGTTAGTTAGCTCCCAATTCTGCTTTGTAGTAATCTCATCATCGAACCATTCTAAAGTCCTTCCTCTCATACAGGCTCTTAAATGTCCTATTGCATTATCTCTTCCTGTTGGAGGACCTGCTACATTATCATTTGGATCTATTCCCCGATTCTGCAAGTCTAGTCTAAGTTGTGCAAGAAAGTCTGGGATACTATCATCCCAGTAGAAATATGGATGAGGTATTCCTGCCATGTTTACTTGATTAGGTGGATTATTCTGAAGCGCCAAAATTTGTCCCTGTAAATTTAAATTATTCTGGCGCTCTGCTTGGGTCTTATTTTTCCATTTCTCATATCGTTCATAGAGCCTGTCTCGATTAAATTCTAACAGACCTATATCCCCTCTACTTCGCTGTAAGTGGTGGGCATTTCGCTGATACAATAATTGTAAGGCAAATTTTTCTTGTACCAGCATACCTATACGGGCTTGTTTTCTTGCCATATTACCTATCATTCTATTTACCTGGTTTTGAGTATTAGTTTGATATTGATGGAGATCACCAATAACATTAGTTATCCTACCTTCAGCAAGTTGCCTTCGTATAATTTCATTATCACGTTCAGCTTCTGCATCATAACGCCTTCGTTGCTCACGGACTAAATCCTGATGCAAATTATTTTCTTTTCAGCGTATCTGCCTTGTAGCTCTTTTTATTTGGTCTATAAGAATATCCCTAGTTGTTGCTCTATTATCCACATAACCATCTATAGCATTTGCTAGCTCTGTGATTGTGGCCATATTATCATCAGAATTATACAAGTCTGGAGAATTCCCTCGTTCAGGCAAATTTTTTCGTGATGAGATGCTTATGATCCAGCATCGCAATTTATTAACTTGTTCCTCAGATTCTACTAACTGCTCTTCTAAACTAGAAATATATTTTCCCTTATCTCGCACATCATTCCTAGCTTGATATAGCTGACTTTTTAGGGTAGAGATTTCAGATTTTAACTTTACTATCTCTTCTTTCGAAGCATTTTCAAGGCGCTCTATCTCCTTATTGAGATCTTGAATTTCTTGCTCACATCGGGTATAATCCCGTTCCAGTTGATTAATTCATCTCTCATTCTGACGATTAGTATCAACTTCTATCTGCAATTCACTATGAAGATGATAGTTCTCTTCTTCCAGCTCAACTTTATGTTCTTCACATGTTCTTCTCTGCCTTAGGTGAGATCTGTGAAATGACATTCTTTTTTTCGTGATTATAAAAGAGAATGGGAGAACCTTTGATTTATATTGATCCTCAGAAAGCGCATGATCTTAACCAGGATTTGGGTTAAGGACTAATCTGGAAAATTCGGCAGGTAGTACATTTCACAATTATACTAGGCGATCATGCATGCAGATTATATAGTGCAAAAAAATAAAGTATAAGCTATGTTTGGCCTCGACATAGTTGAGAGATACATAATACTAATATTTAGTTGAAAGATATTGCAAAGCGCCATAAGGGCTAGGCTAATAATTATACATGAAATATATTACACTATTTTAATAAAGAATCTATACTCCAGAAAATTTGGCGCATATACTCACAATTATTATGTAAATCTGAGAAATTTATAGTAGTAGTCTCTCCATTAATACTAATATTTCCAGTTTTATAATAGCCAATATCTAGTAAATTATATTGATAATGTTTGCCTGCCAATTTACACTTATATAGTACATATTCTGAACTTCTAACAAAGTTTTCATTGCCATTGTTGAGATATTTATCAATACGATAATATTCAGGATTTGATAGCCACTTTAACATATAGTTCCATCCTGAATATTCAACAATTCTATAGCCTTGCCGATGTAATTCTATAAAAGCAACTATGTATGCTACATTATTTAATCATTCCCATAACTGTTCTCTCTTCTTTTCTACCCAGCTTTGTGAAGAATAATGATCATATAATATAGGAAGATTCTGATAATATGCAGGCATATCTTTAGCTTGAATTCTATCTCCATAATTAATTCCCGCTAGAAGATAACTGGGATCCCATATATAGTCTATATATCGATCATCAGGAACTCTTATTTTGCAAGGAGTTATACCTAGAAACTTCTTCTTGTCAGGAGTACCATCATTCCTCACCATATTCCAAACTCGTTTTGCCCAAGTTTCAGGTCTCAACTTGAAAGCTCTCCAAGCCCGTTAGATAATTTTTGCATTATTAAATATATGATATGCAGTCTTTTTCCACAATTCATAGTATGCATCACATCTAATTCTAAAACCCCGACTAGGAAAATCAGTAAATTTACCACAAATCTCATAAATTTCATCTTTACTTAATTCCAATGCTATTCTTCCTCCTTTTTTCTGAATAGGATTAGAATATGCAAGATGCTTTTTAGTGGATTTAGTAATGCATTCATTCAGATGATTATTCGCATATTCAATTGTATTTTCACGAATAGTTACTAAGGAGTCGCATACAGTGCAATAAATATAAACTGAGCGCTCTCTGACTCTAAATCTCCCATTCTTATATGATCTTTCAGTCATTTGGATAAAAGCATTCTTGGAGAAGTATTTTGGGTTATTCTCGAGAAGTTTCTTAAATGGATAAGAAATTCAAGAACACCACATTTCTGGAGTTTCATCACTATACCTATATTGCAGATTATTTAATGCCTGCACTACAACAGGATTTAAACCGGAATAGTTAGTTTTAACCATTTTTATAGTTTATAACCGATCTTAGTGATTTACTGTATAGCGTTTTAGCGAATTATAGCAATTTTAGCGAATTCTAGCAATGATTTAGCAACTTATACTAGATAATATCATCATTCAAATTTATACAGATTTACTGATTAGCGATTAGATGATTTGTAGCCGATTTGCGAGACTACATGCTAGTAAATCCAAAATTCATTTTTATTACATTTCGGAATTTATATGCTAATTTTATATTTACATGCAGTTTGTGGATCTCTCGTGATTAACAGGGATTAGCCAAAGACGCTTTGCATGATTTATAACATAAAAATTTGTATCACCCTGGCTCCCAGTCAGTTCCCGGTACTTCCTCGCAACCTTCCCGCAACTCAAATCACGAGATGAGTTACAGATCAGCCAATCAGGAGAATACTTGGCTCTTTTCAGAATTTATGAGAAAAAAAGATAAGCCATTAAGCAGTTCATAATTATACTGTAACATTTATAGAAGTACACAAGTTTAAAATAATTGATAAGCGTGTACATTGATTTTATTTGTAGAAACGATAAGCACACATGTCTAGATAATAGTAAAACATGGAAAAACTTCGGCAAGTGTGACCAGGCGGTCACAGTTAAGTAAAAATTTGATATTCACTAAAATCGGGAAAAATTTCGGTAGCTGTGACCAGGGTGGTCACACTTGAGAAAAATTTGGCGCAGTAAATTTCATTGGCTCGCTTTTAAAACTTTAGCTATCACATAATCAATGTCATCCACTCCCAGCCTTGAAATAGTTGACGCAGAAAAAGACTTAATACAATATATCTTTTCTTCCCCTCCAACCCCATCAAAAAGTTTAAAGATCTTTATTGCCCTTTCCTTCCTTTTTCTAAGATTAGCCTCTGAAGTTTTGTCCTGGTCCAGAAAGCACTCACGAATTTTATCATTAACTAGAGAATTGGATGTATCTTCACTATATGTTTTTTTATAGTGGTTAAACCATAACATATACCCTTTCCCAAAGAAATAATATGAGCGGATCACAACTAAAATAGCTTTTTGATTATCGCCTTCGGCTTCGACGATCCTGTCATTCAATTCACGAAAATTAACAGACTTAATATCAGTCATTTCAGGGAACGTCTGTAAGGAAATAATACCACCGGAAGATCTTTGCTGTGGAATTGGAGCGGACAATTCCTTGATGAGCTTTTTCAAAATGGGCGAATCTTCTCTACTAACTGGTTTCTTTGCCTTCTTCTTGGGTGTAGATGAGTTGGCGTCCGTACCTTCGTTAGAACGTTTTTTACTGCTGGTATCGGGTTGTTCTTCGCCATCAACATCCATTTCTTCTTCCTCCGATTCCATATCAGTTGAAGGACATACAGGGCACAACTTGCGTGGATTATCAATGCAGGCATAGTGCACAATATGTTTACAGGTTAAGTATACGAGATGTTTCGGAGGCCCTTGAGGTTGAAGTGGGAAACGAATAGAGCTTATGGGTGGAAGCCATGAAGAAAGGTCTTCGGAACATTTGGCGCATTTTAAATAACTTCTGGCTTGTTGAAATCCTGTATTCTCGATTCCCTCCATCCGTAAGATTGGCGAAGATAGGATAAAGGTTTCATTCATCCTGTTGGATAAAGCCGAAATTGGCGACTCTTGATCAGTAGTAGGAACTTCTTCTATGATATCCACATTCTTTCCACAGTCGGGAAATGGACATGTATTCGGCATGGTTAGTAGAAGCTTTTTCTCAATGCATATCCTGTGAAAGGTGTGGCCACAGCTGAGGATAGTAATCACCTTCGGAGGTCGTGTTAAAATTTCATTATTACATTCTGAACATTGATCTAGCTCTGGAATTTCTTTATCCACGACGATATCATCATCGAGATTTTTCAAGATAATATAAGCAAGCTTCATGTGATTCAAGAGACGTGTTGACAGATTCTGAAGTTTTGCCTTTTTTTCTCAATGTCCTGCTTTGTTTCGAAGGCGACATATTGGATACACTAGCTTTGTCAATTCTTTGTCATCCAGCCCATTTTATAACACTTGTAAATCCACAGGAGAAAACAATTCCCGGATCTTCACCAGCAATTACGCACTGCATTTCGTCATTTCGCTTATCCCCCTACAATCGCCTTTCCGACACCTATGGTGTCACGAAAGATAAGCCAACTATTTTTTTGGGATTAATAGGAAAGCTTTTCTCCTGAAGATCTTTGATCGAAGGAGCCGGGATGACGAAGGATTAGCATACACATCCCCAAATCTCATATGCGAAATAAGGATTGCCGGAAAAAAATATCCATACCCGATTATTGTTTTGTCAGTATGAATAGTGTGGCCGGCAAAAAATAAATGCAAATCAACTCAGAAAAATTAACTGTTAATGCGAAATATATATGCGATTCGCATGTCGCACAGCCCCTATTCTTCGGCAAGAATTTTACCGATATCTTACTGCGCATTTCAGGTGATCGATTCACATGACGAAGTTTTAGTCACGATAAAGTTCGTTCTCACCACAACCACATTCACCACTTATATTATTCCCTATAGTTTTTTCTTTATGGTCACATTCAGTGTCAATAAGCATACACGAAAACCAAAGGCGTTTCTTATTTGCGATACATCGAATAGATGAGTGTTATTACAAATTGATTTTTTTTTTACGAGTTTACAGAAGTTACATATGTAAAAATCGAAAAGCAATAAAACTAAAATCAGCAATTAATATATATCTTGCCATTTCTCAATAATCTCATATACAATTCCATTTTCTACAAACCATTCCAGTCGATCTTTTCCTTTAATTGTGTACTTTGACGCTTCTTCGGGAGAATCCCCAAGTGGCCATAATGATAAACTTTCATCGTTCCACAGAAAAACACGACCATAACAATCTAAAAAGACCATTCCACCGTTGGTCTCTCCGACAATAATTATATGATTGAATCCAAATTCAGCAATACACTTTATATAGTAAGTTAATTCTTTTGGGTCACTATCAAAAATTTTAAACTTACAAGAGGTTGCAACACGAGATTTATCTTCAAATGCGTCAACTAATACGAGTGTATTGTTGCAACCTGATGACGATTCATCATTTCCATCACATAATTGCACTTGATGCACGGTTGTATGACACTCAATACTTGATGATCCCCCCTGGGTATAGCGAGACTGCGCGTGTATAAGACGGCACGTCCTTGGAGGGATTGTGGATTTCCACGCATTGTCTCCCAGGGAACCGATTCTGAACAATTTCCCAAAGCGTGCTTGCAATTCTCCCATTGTTCTTCGGTTAGAACATCCTTCACATTCTTTGCCCATTGTAACGTTTCCATTTGCTTCATCCTTGACTCCGCTAGTTTTTTGTTCATTGATCGTTTGCAACGAATCGATGCACCCATCATATATTTCACAACTATTCCTTCTTGTCTCGAAGTTTCTACTGAGTACGTTACGTTCACAGTTGATGGTCTCAATTGTTCTTTCGGTTGAATTATTATCAAACTTTCTGCTAAGCGTTTCAGACTTTCCATCAAATAATCTATTTGTTCGTTTAATTTCATCTTCATTGTGGGTTGAAATGCGTAGGTCCAGAGAAAAGACCAAGCGTCCCAAATGGTGATAATCAATATTGGATGGAAATTGTCTAAAGTAATTTTTTTTCCCTCCGGGCCGAGAGGTACGATTGTTTGGTTCGTTCTACATAAAATACGTTTTATGAACTTGTTCAAGCATTTTTTTGTACTTCCTCTCCTTACCTGAATGGCTCCACGAATTCCGAAATCAATTTTACTTGCCATTGCTCTTCAAATTTTTCTAGCCAGCTGAACGGACTTTAAAAGAAATTCTGTATAAATATAACAAAAAATGCTGAGGCAACTAAAAATACCTTGCTGGGTCCCAAGTCGCCATGTATATGGAGGAAAAGAGTATGGTCGGGTCAGCGTGATGAGTAGAGTATGGACCCCTACGTGACAGTTTACTCAAGTGACAAATAACACGGCGGGCCAAACACGTGATTCAGAATGGGCCGGGTGTCTATTCATCACCTGAGTATGCTTCACACCATTTATGTTACACACCGCCAAATGTCACCATACTATGATGTATATGAATCGCGTCACAACGAGATTAACATTGATAATCAAATTTTGACCTCATAATGATAAGATTTACAAATGTGTGAGTCATAATCAGTCAAATATGTATTATATAATTCAGCCAATTTCCTTATTACTATAGAGTTAATCCTCACGCCTATGCATAATATAAATACAACTATTGGAAAGTGTATGACGGAAAACAACACAAAAATAACTGATTATTAATAGATCCTCTAAAAATAAACGACTGCTCTGCGGATATGTTCACATGAACCAATGACGCTCTTATTACTGCGGAAAAGTATAGATGACGTCTTACTGTACATGTTATCTAAGCCACCCACGGGATTCGAAAAAAGAAATAATAATTCAGAACTATACAATTAACGCAGTGCTGGAGGTGCTGTACATAATTCACCTAGGCGGTTACCGGTGAGATAATAGGACTCATCATTGGTGAGACTTTCCTTTCATATCTTCCGTCACAACAATAATAACCTCTATCACGTTCACCATATTCATTATATCCACCGTATCCATTGTATCCATCATCATCTGAATCGTCTGGCATCGATTGCTTTAAGCAAACATCACTGTTGCGATTACAGTTACTATCATCGTCTGTCTTAACTGATTGCGAAACAACTTCTTCATTCGTTTCTTTCACTGGCTTAGGTGTAGAATCGAAATACACACAATCTTCCAAGAGCATTTTGTAGTAATCGTCCTCAGCTTCGAGCGAATTGCTTGGGCTGACTTCTTTGGAATCATCAGAAGAATTAGAGATATGGGCTAATGGGATAGGTGCTATTGATTCACTTACCTGGTCCCTATACGACTTGATATACTGGATTTTATCCAATCCTATTTTTTCGAGAAGCTTGTAGATCTTCTCAGCTCTCTGAGTTTTTTTGCGCAAACCATCTCTTGTTATGTCTGGGAGTGGCACCCCTGTATTTTGAGATCTTTTCTTACGAAGGATATTAACTTGCTTCACGACTTCATCGTATATTAGACCTCTTGCCTTCTTTTCACCAATTTTATTATTATCACACAAGGCCTCCAACTGAAATACGAAATTTCTTCCATAGTGGTACCAGCATAATATTTCTTCTTGATTTGCTTCCAATCTGTGCTCTTCTGCAATAAGCGCTTTATCACATAACTGGGCCAAATATTGAGATATCTCTATCATAGTAGTCCCATGAAATGAAGACACTAATGCATTTGAATTATCAGATTTCCGGGACCACGCGGTCTTGGAAATTTTAGTCACATGATTTTCTTTGGGTACGGATGAAGAGATTTCTTGAATCAATCCCTGCCCATTTTTTTCATTCTTCTTTTCCTTATTGCGTCGCTTTATTTCACTACTAACGATTTTCTTATGAGCCTCAAGCAAGAAACTATCCATATCTTTCTCTTTCAACGGTTTGCCGTTAAGGCGCTTCGCAGAGTTGGCAGGTACCATCGCCACCAGTTCTTGTTTATTATAGCAAATCTCTTCAGGAAAGGAATTATCTGTTTCCACATCCACCAATGGTTTCTCATGATACTCTGTAACTGAATTAAAGTTAGATGTACTATTATCAGAAGGATTATCATTATACGTCTGCTCTTTCACTGGTAAGGAAGCCTGTTCCACTATCGCAAGTCTGGTCTCAAGCTCCTTATTTTTTTGCTCCAGTTCCTCAACTCTAACATCTCGTCTAGTATTATTCTCCTCCATAATCCGCTTTAAAAGTTCAGCTTTTTCTGCCTCAAGCTCGGCATTCTTAGCCTCAAGTTCAACAATACGCTGTTTCAATACTTCAAGCTCAGATGACATGATTGATAAATTTTATACAAGAAGTGAAATATTCAAAAGTTAGTTAGTATATATATACATAGAGACTGTCATTTTACCAAGAGAAATAGGTTATAAAGTCACCAGATTTCCAGGACCGCGCATAGAGCTCTGCATGGGTCGGATCGGGTCAGGTAATTTGTCTGACCCGAACTGAAAAATTTTTATCAAGTCAGGTCGGGTCGGGTAACCTGCTTTGACCTGACCTGACCCGTCTGACCTGAAAGTATTCAGGTCATTTTTCTATAAAATAATATGAAAAAACGCCACTTTGGCGATTTTTTTCATAAAAGAAGTAAAAAAAAAATGCCGTTTTGGCATTTTTACATAAAATAATATGAAAAAACGCCGTTTTGGCAATTTTTTCATAAAAGAAGTGAAAAAAAATGCCAAAACGGCATTTTTCCATAAGATAAATAAAAAAATGCCGCTGAGGTCCCCCAATTCCCTCTGTCATCAATTTACAGAGTTGCCACATCGAACGGGCATTCTCATGGTCGAACGAACGAATAAACGAACGAACGAACAATTAAACGAACAAGCAAATAGTCAACAACATAATTAACAAACAATATAATTAACGAACAATATACAACAACATTCTTGGTTCACAAAATAAATAGCGTTAGTAATATAAAACGTTGAGCGATATAAAATAAAATGTACTTCTCTTTCCTCAAATTATATCCACTTTTACCTTTAATTTCAAACTTCGATAGCTCTCGCTACGAATTATCACTTTTCAAAACATATATTTAATTCTTCTTAAATTTTCATTAATTAAAATTAATTAATCAAACATTAATAAAAGTTTAGGGCGAACCTATTACCTTTAATTAATATTAAACTTCATTAATAATTAAAAAATAAAACTTATATTTTATTGAGTTCTGTGGATGCGAACTATGGAATT